ACACACACACACACACAAACACACATACACACGCGCACACAGACAAATATCCCCCCCCCCCAGTGGTCTAGTAAGAATTTGTGAATTGTATTGATTTGGTTGCTTTTTATGAATGTGCCGCAATTCTGAAACATGGTGTGAAAGTTTCTTATTGTGTCTATGTTGTTATGTCAGTGACACTTTTAAGTGGTCTTGCTTTCCTTTAAAATGTTTGTCTTGAGTTCAAATATTATATCTACGTAAACTATTCAAAGTCTATTTTAGTCATTTGAAAACGTCAGTTGCAACGTCTCTTAGCGGAAGTCCGCGTTTGTCCATATTTAGTCATCTGCGGAAAATCAACAGGAAAACAAATGAACAAACAAACGGACAATGGCACGCGTCCAAATACGGGGCACACTTTGTCACGGACGCATTGCGCAGTAATGTATTAGATTCAGATTTATTGTAAAACTGACTGCGGCAAGAATATTTTTTTTAATGACTCAACACTCCATGATGTGATCGCCAATTGCGTTTGTCTCTTCCGCCATACCTCTTACCATCTTGAGACGAGTGCAATCTTTCCCACAACGTAAAACATGAGCGTTAATTAAGACCAGGTGATTCGTCACTTCGCGAGATATGGGATGAACCTACTAGATTTAAAAGCGGAGCTTGTGGCGTTGTCCTATAAATATTATTATTCTTCAGCACCAGGGTATAGAGCATCTTTCTTCAACAAAGGAATTTACGTGTATCTTTTTTATCTTTAACATCTGAAAAAAGTGTAATACACACAATCAGGTTGGTACATTTTAGAAATGCTAATCGTCATACACTTTGTGAGTGTTGATTTTAGTGTTGATTTGAAAGATCACTTAGATCTTTTATCTTTATGACAAGTAGCAATTTTCCTCGCCGACCTATCGGCTATTGTCAGGCTGTTGGGCACGTTCATAATAATGCTTAAGTCAATTTTAATAAATTATTGAGAAAATGAGAAAAATAACCCAACTGTTTCTTTCAAGTAATTGACTTTGTAAAATGATTGAATGTTGATACATTTAACTGATTTATATTAGGATTATTTTTTTAAAATGTTGTCCAAGTGAACTAGCCTATAAGATAAGATACATCTTTATTGTCCAGATCCTAGCACATTGGTTTGGTGTTTCACCAGGTGCACACACACACACACACACACACACACACACACACACACACACACATACACACAAACACACATACACACACACAGACACACACACACGTACACACACGTAGGCTTACAATCAAATGAATAATATAAACGAGCAGCAATATAAACAATAATAATCGTAAGCTAGATACACACTCAATGTTATTTTGATGCATGCTCTAAGGTCGTAAGTATACTTATACAAGATGGTTAAGATGGAAGCTTTTTGATAGATGATAGATATTATTACCAAGCTGGCTCTGCTCTTCATTTCAGAACCAAAATCTCCAAACTGGCAAAAATAACGTAGGCAATTATTTCATGAGCGTGACGTGTTGTATATCCAAAGGCAGTACACGACAAGATGGTTCAGTGTATAAAAATGTCTTAAAATTAATTCGTCTTATAGTAGTTGTGGTTATTGTTGCTGCCTAAACTTTTCGTTTCATTTCTTAATTAAACGTTGTGGTTTTTTCAGTACAGTTTCTCTTCTTACTTTTAGCTAAATAATAGTACCAGAATTACGAGCTGTCAAGTATTAACATAAATGTGGCCACCAAGATTTTTAGGATGTGGGAGATTGGCGCGTGCACTGGAGTGGTTTGCTCCTATAACATGTCCTCCATATCTTTTATGTTTGTGACTCTATTGCAACACCTCTAATCTTTGGCACTTATACGACCTATTTGTATTTTAAGTGCCGTAAATCTCTTTCTAAAACAGTTTTAAGATGTTCTTTTCAGTACATCAAGGGAAGCCGCGAACCATTTATGAGCCATCTCAACTTTAAAAAAATATTTAAAAAATGAGATAGAATAAATTTTAAAAAATCATCTATTGCTCGCTCTCTCTGTCTCTCTCTGTCTCGCTCTCTCTTTCTCTCCTCCCCCTCTCTCTCTCATTGTCTAACTGTCTATGCTGCTCCATTTTTCTGTCTCTCTGTCTTCTCTGTCTTCTGTTCGTCTGTCTGTCTCTTTATTTTTTGTCTCTAACCCCCTCTCCTCCGTCCTCTCTCTCTCTCTCTCTCTCTCTCTCTCTCTCTCTCTCTCTCTCTCTCTCTCTCTCTCTCTCTCTCTCTCTCTCTCTCTCTCTCTCTCTCTCTCTCTCTCTCTCTCTCCCAAGTTCCGAGTTTGAAACAGAAACTGGAGCTCACGTCTTTGTACTCTGCCCAACTTTTGTCCAAGAATTTCAGCCTTGTAAAAATATATACGCCTGGCCAACCTCTGTCACTTTGTTTTATGTCGTTTTTAATTGTACATAGTCAATTATCATTCATCCCTACCGGCGTCTGTTGTGAAATCTGAAGTACGCAGAAGATGTGAGTTCAATTCCCGTACGGGGAAAATTCTATGGAGTATGATAATAATAATAGTAATAATAATAATGGTAATAATATTAACAACAACAATGACAATAATAATAATAATAATAATAATAATAATAATAATAATAATAATAATAATAATAATAATAATAATAATAATAATAATAATAATAATAATAATGATAATAATGTAGATCAGTTCTAAATGCATCATGAACGGACAACATTCACGCTCGCACGCACGCACGCACGTACGCACGCACACACACACACACACACACACACACACATACACACTCACGCACACATTACACGCACACATATGCACACACATGCACGCCCAATACATGCCCACACACACCCCCGCGCGCACACACACACACACACACACACACACACACACACAGACACACACACAGACACACACACACGCACACGCACACACATACACACACATACACACACACACACACATCTACTTGCTGACCACACGTTCATTCCAGTCTTTTTGCCGGGACGTTGCATCCTTATAGCTCGTGGTGGTCCCAGCAGTAGAGCTGGGCAAAGAATCGATTCCAGAACCGATTCCCACGATAAGTGCTGCAGAAGAAAAGTTCCAACTCCTTTTTACGTATACCAAAGGTTATCTGTTACTTTAATCATTAAATTTTTTTAAAATATATATATTTTTGAAAAATAAAAGATGATGCTTCGTACTGTTCCGAAATCAAGGTTATCCTAAATCTCGAAGATGTTGGGAGCCAACCAGGTAACAACTGGAAAAAAATTACATTATTAGAAATTAAGTAATTGGGTTCTGAGTCGATTCCTACGATTCCTTGCTTTCAATAATCGGGAATGTAGCCGCCCAGCACTACCCAGCAGGCAGCGTGGAAGAAACTCCCCCAAAGAGCACTCATCTACATGTGATGATGCATCGGAGTTGAGCCAGGTGCTCGTCAGAACAAGCAAATCAGAAATATTGGCATTTTTCCGAGGGTGAGGCAATTTTTATTGACTTTTTATTTCTTGGCTAAATACCCTTTATGTCCATTTAAAAACACATTTCTATACGCATTTCTCTAAAATAAATTAAAAACACAGAAATGAAAATGTTCAGTTTCCAAGGACCCTCGAGCTAAGGACGTCAACAAACTTTGGAGGCCATTTTCTGGCTAATTTTACCTCTGAAACCAGGCAACCCCCATCTCTTTCAATCTCAAATATCTCGACTGCCGTTCAAGACAAATAAGTATTTTCAATTAAAAGCAAGCTAAATGAACAGGCTTTAAGATGGCACCAAAAACGCCACATGCCCAAAAACCTACTCCACCGCGCCATGACACGATGGAGGAGTTAGCACATCTCTAAGTCTGCATTTATTCTTTTCTATACATGTATAGCCGTTGGTACCACGATGAAGCGTGTCTTGGCGATAAGCCTCCTATCTCTGTCCACCGTCGGGCTCGTGCTGTCCACTGCCTGTCCACCAGACATCTGTGACCGTGTGGACTGTGAGCCTGTGGAGCCGGCTACCTGTACCGGGAAAGTGGTCAAGAACACGGACAGGTGTGGCTGTTGCGACGTGTGCATGGATGTGATCAGTGAGTGGACGTCGGTCTAAGCCTTTCATTACTGGAGTGTTTTCATTTACATTGGTATTACTTACTTACTTACTTACTTACTGACTGACTGACTGACTTACTTACTTACTTACTTACTTACTTACTTACTTACTTACTTACTTACTTACT